AATTTCAACATAATACACTTTCCAATAAAAATCCTCTTATGAACAGACAATCTCAAACACTATTAAAAAAATTACTATATTTTTAAAAGATAATTTACAAATTACAACAACCTTATATTTTCTTATTTAATTAAAAATTCAAATAAGACCCTGACAACAATTCCAAGAATTACAACCTCTACTGCGGATAAAACCGTGCAAATGACCTTTAAAAACATAAATGTTTAACTTTAAATACATTTTTGTTCTATTTACTCTCCATTTTAGTTCAGTTCATATATTTTTCAAAACTTTTATTTTGTTTTTTTTTTCCATTCTTGTCCTACCATTTGGAAGTGAAAAGGGTAATTTTTATCTATTAATTTTTTTATTTCATTGTTTCGATCACAAGTTCAGGACACCATATTCAATAAATTTCTTAAAATATAGTCAAAACGGTATTAAATTATTTTCGTTAGGCTTAAAATTTGTGTTAAAATTTTTTAAACACGACTTTTTAAAAGTACAAAAATCAATACACATATTTCTAAAGTACAAGGACTAAAATCGGTAAATTTTAAAAATATAGAGAAAAAGTAGACAAAAGTATAGAAAAAATATATATATTTTTTAAATAAATTAGAAGCAGATGTCAACATTATTATGATAATTTTATTATAATTAATATGCTTTTGCCAAAACATTTATTAGGCATTTATTCCCATTACCACACCAAATTGTTCTCTTTTACCTTTTTTTTAGTGAAGGCTCATTTGTCGGTGGGTTTCCCAAAACGACATTCATCCCTCTAATTACAAAGATATAACAATAAAACAACATATATTAATTGCAAATAATACACAAATAATTCAAATAATTAATCCCTAAAACCCTAAAACCAAAATAATTATTAGCAATAAAGCCACTTTTTTTTGCTTGTTTGCAAAATAATAGACACTTTTTCGTCTCAAGCAAAAGTCTCCCCCTTCCTCTTGATTAGTTGCATAGACTTGCAACCTCCACGCTCCATCTAGTTTATATAGCTTTCTTGATTAGATACAATAGCTTTAATTATATTTTTAGTTTCTACCTTTTAATTTTAGATCTAATTTGATCTTTACGTTTTTAAAGTTTGGAAAAAATCTCATCAAATTGGACCGTACACGTTTGGATAAGTATTGCAATTCTACGTACTTCATTTTTTTTTAATACAATATGTGAGGGCAGAGATTCGACCTCATGACTTTTTGATCGGAGATAGGTACGATAATACCATTTACCTTAGGATAGACTTTCGTTTAAAGAATCATTAAAAAATTCACAACATCGTTCAATAAATTATGATGTATAATATAAAAAAATACGATAACATGACATAAAAATAATATTAGAGCTAGATTTTTATTGAGGTTCGTGAATTTTGGAAAATTTATCCAATGGACTTAATTTCGGGTCAGATTTGATTTTCGTTGAAATTAGTGATTTTCAGAGATTTTTATCTTGCTCTTTTGTAAAAATCAGTAGGCAAATATAACTGAGGTATAACACCAATCTAACATGACAAATTATTTGTGAATACAGCCAGTAAGCTTCATCATGTGACAATTTATTTTGATTAATGTGGAGACCTAACAAGCCACGATGTTTGAAAAATATGAATATGGATCAAATTCTAAAACATATTATTTTGATTGCAACCAAAATTAGGTAAAACAAAAATCAAAATTTTAATGCGATTAAAAAGAACTTGCCCCACTAAATTTACGTTACTCCATTAGTGCCAAAAACTTTTGACAAAGTTTTAACTTAAATCAAGGATTTTGTTTTACTTCAATATATTGGGAGTACTATTTACATGGAGGATCTCGAAGCTCATCAAGTAAAAGAATTCTTAGAACTTGTTAGGGACAACGAGTAACCCAAATATCTCCATAATTAAATGATATTGTCCGTTTTGAACATAGCCCTCACGGATTTATTTTTGGTTCTACCCAAAAGGCATCGTACGAGATAATTGTCCTCATCTATATACCAGAATCATGTTCTTCTTAGCCAATGTAGAACTTTTGCATTTTCATTACAAAATCAACAGAACTTTTCTACCATTTAGTGGATTTATCAATAAAAGCTTTCATTTGTTTAGAAAGCACCAAATTAAATCAATTACGTACATGAGTGGCACAAGATTGCTGTTCACATTTCTGGTTATGGGAAGGACAGAAAGAGTAGTGATGTTGCATTAGAAGTTGAGAGTTCTCTAACAAAAAGGCAAAGTGGGGATTCAATGGTAAAAAAGTGGCGAACTGTTAGTCGTTGAGTTGCATTAAATGCGAAAGCAATGGGGGTTGATATAAATACCTCTGGATTTGGGTGAAGTTTTCATCCATTGGTTTGAAGATTGATCTTTAATTTGTTCAATTCATTGGCCTCCACCAAGATGGCAAGTGGCTGCAAGAGAGTGGGTTTGTTGTCTTTGTTGTGCTTTCATGTTGTTGTGTTGAGTGTGGTTGCAAGGGAAGTGGGTGAAGGGAGGGA